GGAAGTATTTGGAGCGGTATTCTATGAGAAACATTTCCTCGACTTTGTTCAAGAACAAAAATAAATGGAGTTCCTAGAATTAAAGCAAAGGAATATAAGGGTGGAAGAATACACAGAAATGTTTATAGAGCTGGTTCGGTTCGTGCCCAACTTAGTAGCAAATGGAAGCCTAAGAGTCAGGAAGTTTCAGAGAGGCCTACATAAAGAGATCTAGGATAAAATCTCTGTTCTGAAAATTAATGACTATCAAGAAGCACTGGAATGAGCCCAAATTGAATAAGAGGCTACAAGTTCAGTCCCACAACAGATCCAGCGGGTTCGACCATTCATACCAAACAATAAGAAGAAGTTTTACGAGCCACAACAACCCAATAAAAGGCAGAAGACATATCTCATAGTTCCAACCCAAGGGCCAAAGCAAATATGCCCTTATTATAGAAAGAACCATGGTAGTAGACCCTATTATAAGCTGATAAATGGATGTTTTAGATGTGATCGTACTCAACATCAAATCGAAGAGTGTCCTATCAACAAAGAACAGACCAGGCCAAGAACTCAAAGAAGTATATCCCCTTACCGAAAGAGATGCTGAAGCCTCCCAAAATGTGATCCAAGTTATGCTCACTATCTTTAGCACCTTGGCTAAGGTCTGAATAGACCCAGGATCTACACACTCTTTTGTATCACATGAGTTTATTCAGCATTTAAACATTAAATAATCATCGTTAGATTATGTATTAGTAGTCTCTACCCCAGCCAATAAGGACTTGACCACTAGTACAGTATGTCGTGCATATATTGTTGAGATTGCTAACAGAGAGTTACTAGTAGATTTCATACTCTTAGATATGCATGATTTTGAGGTCATATTAGGAGTGGACTATTAGGCTACGTACCATGCCAATATAGATTGTCATGGAAAGATGGTGAGTTTTAATATTCCCAATGACAAGGCTTTCAAATTCAAAGGGATTAGAGAGCCCCAACATCTATGTCTTATATCTTACATTCAGGCTCAACGATTACTTGAGAAGGGATGTGTATGGTATTTGGCTTACGTAGTGAAGGAATTTTCTGATGTTTTCCCAGACGATCTTCCAAGTTCACCTACAGATGAGGAGATCGAGTTCTTCATTGACTTAATTCCTCGTACAAGCCCTATATCTAAGGCTCCGTATCAAATGATGAAAGCCAAATTAGAGGAACTTAAGAAACAGTTGCAGGAATTATTGGATAAGAGTTGCATCAGACCAAGTGTATCACCATAGGGAGCTCCAGTACTATTTGTGAAGAAGAAGGATGGTACCATGTGACTCTATATCGACTATAGGCAATTAAACCAAGTTTTCATAAAGAATAAACATCCACTGCCTCGTATCGATGATTTATTCGACCAACTTCAAAGAGCCCAAATATTTTAAAAGATTGATCTATGTTTTAGATACCATCAACTAAAAATTAAAAAAACGATGTTCCTAAGACTGCCTTTAGACCATATATGACCATTACAAATTC